AATTAACTTTAAAAAAAGCAGACTGTAGAAACCCTTCTCCTTTAATACGAAGATGTAGGTCAGGAACTGCAACACCCAGCATGCAAAAATTCATTTTCCACAACAGTCAATAAGGAACACTGGATCCTGGAATGATCATCACCCTGAGTTCCACTCTTTAATGTTATAGTTAAGGACAGCCATGAGCTACACTGTAAAGCCCCAAGGAACCATTTGACCATTCCACCTCAACAATATAACAACGATATTACTATACATGAATTTTCATAATTTCCTTATTTCCTGAACATCTAAAATATTCTCAGTTTGATTCTTTAAGAGTGTTTACAATCAACTATATATGCAGAACTATCTTCAGGGAAAGCCAGATGCAAATGAATAGAACATTTTTCCCACTTAATCTATGTAAAGTTGGAAAGAGACAAAAATAAAAATCAAATCAAGCTAACAGAGATGATTATTTAATTGTAATGTTATTTGTGTAGAATTACCTGATCTAGCAAACCTAAATACTGTTAATGAGCTGACAAGGGTTACAGGTCTGTTTCATGTACAAAAGTTCATCACACAGAAGGTATGTTAAAACTTAGATTAAAACAAGAGTTAGATTTTCTTATTAATTAAGAGTCTAGTCACTGAACAGTTCACTGCACATGGACCAGGCAGAAATATATGCAGGTTTGTGATTATAGGTATTTCTAATTTAAAGTTCCCATTAATGTATCTTTTCATATAGGTTCTGGTTGTTGATTTTTACATTATAATAAAATACTTTCATTCTTGGATTATGCAGTGATTTACAAAGGAAGGCAAATATCCCCATTTTAAACATGGAGAAACTGCAGTGCAAAAAGATGAAGCGATTTACCCAAAGTCATACAGCACGTCAGTGGCAAAACACTGATCATTGGACCATATTGACTCCCCATATACTTGTCCTGGCAGTGGCCATTTCCTTCCCCTCTTATAATGTACCAAGTAAATCTGGAGCTATACACAACTAAAAAACAATGAAAGTAATGCTGGTCCAAATAAAGTCAATGACAAAATTCTCACTGATTTCAATTAACTCCATTCATCTGAAGAAGCGGGTTATGCCCACGAAAGCTCGTGATATCATCTACATTTTTTGTTAGTCTCTACGGTGCTGCAAGACTATTCTTAATTGTTTTTTTAAGCTTTTTCAGTTACAGACTATCACAGCTACCCCTTTGAAACTTCTAATTTTAATAGGTTCAGGATTTCACGCAACTATGTAAAAGACAGCTATAGCTAACAATGTTACAAAGAAAATCCAAGTCTGGTAAAGATCTACGTTTCTCTCACAGGCAGAAGTTATAGATAGAGTCTAGTCTCCTGGCTGAGTCTGTGACACCCACGTATATGAAGTTTCGTGCTTTTCTCCCACAAACATACTGTTAGTAAACACTGAATGCTTCTGGCTTAATGAAATGTATTATTATGAATAACTACATTTTATTGCTGCTGTTTGCAATTAATTTGACCCATATTGGAAAATGATCCACTTTTAAAGGTAGTACAGCGTTGGCACTAGGTTTTTCAGGGATCAGTAGAAAGTAACGTCAGAGTCCTCAGCCCAGTACCACCCAAGAAGAACGACCCTTGCCCATGACCACTGCATCCCCTTCTGGCAATACCCCTTCTGTAACCAAGTAACTAGAGAACTTAAAACAGGCCCAGCAATCCAATCTAAAATGCAGGCATGTGTCCAGACAGAGGAAATTTGCATTGTGGAGAGAAATCTGCAGTTTAGTCTATGGTTCACACCATCCAAAGAACCTGCCCCAGCCCTCTTGAGAAGAGAAGGAAGTGAAAAAATAAGCAATACAAAAATCCCTACCTTCAGGCCATTCTTCTAAAACATAATGCAACAATAAAATATGGAGAAATATTGTGTGTGGTTTTGCTTTGCAGTTTGCCTTTGCAATTGGCATTTACAGAGAAGTCTACTTTTTCAAGATTCCAAAATCTATTTGCATCTGGATTATTCTCCTGAAGTGAAACTGTGGCCCCAGTGAAGTCTATAATGTCAGTAACTTCAATGAGAATTCTCTCCAGAGGGCTTTTCCAGCCATACTGTGAGTGAATTTCTTCTTCCCTCTCTATGTTGCTCTGGTATTTTAGACAAAGAAAGATTTACTCAAACAGTGGAAGAAACGGCTTCAAAGGATGTAGACATCTAACTCACTTACTACCTTTCAATTACAAACAAAAGATGGATGCCTCTTGATTTCTCCTTTCTAAACTTTAGAGAAATATTATAGATTAACAAGATTTAGGAGATGTTATTATGCAATCATCTACTATCAATCCTGTTCATTTGGATTAAAGCTATGATCAAAACAGGGATGTGAAAATGTAAATGTGTAACCTTTATGGTTACACGCAGGCCCTCTCCACCCCTTTCCTTGCACTGCTGCCTCTGTATCAGAGATAGCAGGGGAGGGGTGGGGGGAGGGGGGGAGGAACGGGACGACGGGACAGGTGGGAGCTAGTGCTCCTGGGAAGCCAGCTTTTAAGTTCTCTCTCTGGGTGTACCAGCTCCCGGGGAGCTGCCTGACCCTTCTCCCCCACTGTTGCATCTGATAAAGAGGAAGCAAGGAAGGAGGCAGGTGGAAGCCGGTGCATGCATGAAGCCAGTTTTTAAGTCAGCCCCCCACTCTGATACAGGCAGGGAGAGGGGCAGGCAGCTCTGCATAAACATCTAACTGCTGAAATTAAGGAAGACTGAAAATACTATTTAGGCAAGGTACTTGTTGAAAAGAGGGATAAGGAATGAGTGATGTAATGTTTTGTTACTCTATGGCAAAAAAAGGGTTTATCAGACACTGGAGTTTAATTCAAGATGTTTCTCATATTATTATACTGGATTGACTACAGACTACTCTTAACATAACTGCTCAGATGGATTCCAGGTAAGATTAATTGCACTTAGTGACAGATAAATATGCCACTGGTACACATTTTCTCTTATATTCCTTCTTCCCTTCACTCCTAAAGACACAGAAGATGACATTTATAGATGCTACCTTGACTTCCTCCTCTCTGCATCACTTAAATTGCTCTCACAAAAGTTTCTAAGCCAATTTTTTCTGGCAAAAAACGTGAAGTCTATAAACCTCTCTCACTCTCCTTAATCTGTTTGCAGCTTTCAGCACTATTGATCACTCTCTTCCCTTCCTTCAGTTTTCACAGTACCAACCTCCACTGTTTTTGCTGCTGTCTCTGATTACTCTGTCAGAGTTTCCTTTTATAGACCCTTCTCTTGTTCTTAGAGTGGCTGTCAAAAGGTTCTGGCCCTCTCCTCTTTCCTCAATATAGTATCCTTGAGCAACCCTGTTCACTTCCATGATTGCAAATATCTCCATGGTGATAAATTTACTTTGTATCTTCTGCTACACATCTACATTTCAGTCTGGGTATCTGACATTTCCTCTTGGATGCTTAATGGACAGCTTACACTTAGAACAGCAACCATAAAACCACTTATTTTTCCTCCTAAACTTTCTCTGCTTGTCCCAATTTCCATTACTGTCAGGAAAACAACCTTAAACTAGGGTTAATCTTTGACTCTTTAATATTTGCCATATATATCACTGGTCTTTTCATACAGTATAACATTTTAAATATCTCCTGCAGTTTCATTTTTCCATATCTTAAAGACTTGAACTTTCCATTTTATCCCCACAGCTAAAACTCTTGCTTGTGTCCCTGACTTTTTCATTTTGATTTCCAACTTCCTCATGACCTCCTTTCTACCTGCATTACAGCGCTTTTGGTCCATCCATAGCATGGATGTTAAAACTGTCTTCCTCATCTATGATCTGATCATATCGCCTTCCTCTTTGGATCTCTCCACTAACATCACAGATCCACTGTGTCAAGTTTAAATTTCCTTTTGTCCCTTTAACTGCCCCAGTCTAGTTTTCTATTTAAAGCAAAGACACATATTTTGTTTTAGAAACTATTAATACAGATGATGTAGAACAGGTTGATTTTTAACAGAAGTGTTTATTAAAAACATATGTGAGCCTAACTTGAAACTTGCAGTTACTGGTTAAAGAAAAAAAAAATCAACCTGTTATCAAATTATGCCTAACATTTGACAAAGTATAAATACATTGCAGTAACTCCCTATGGAATTTTCATCTTGGATTTCACCATCACTTTTGAGTTCATTTAGAAAAGTGAAGCACAAGTTTACCATTCTCCTAATTACAACAACACGTCAGATTTGATAAAAATGCGAATAAAAACTGGAAATTCAATTGAAAACTGTTTGGAGATTGCAATCATTTGTAGAGTTATAATGTTTATGAGCTAACCTTTAGGGAATTTGAA